AAAAATCAGCATATACAAAGCCTGAACCTAAAGGGACGTGTCAGTGTTCGCCACTCGAATCTTTAATGCACTATTCGCGGAAACCCTTACGGATCATCCCAATTTTTATGGACGCCTGCCAAGCCCTTATGGGCACTGTCCTCTATGAAGCAACACTGGGTAAGACTTATCACTCATGCGTTCGTAATAGTGTTATGTAGAACGAATTTAAAAAGGCGCACGACCACCTCAAAAATGAATAGCGTATTGGGTGACGGATAAAGCGGTTTCGCGGGTAAACCCCTGCTCGGTTGAAAATTAAAGCTCTGATTGTCAGGCTTGATTTGCGCTCGATTTCATGGAAAAAAGAGAGCTCCAATCGCGCCCGATCTCAGGGACAATATTACGCTCTATTCGCGCTCGAGCATTCGCGCCCTTGTTATAAGGGGCGGTGCAAGTTAAGCTATAATGGACCAACTGGAAGCTCAGGAGCACGGAAACCCCAGCAAGAGAAGGAACAATGGAAAGTTCGGTGTTCACCACTCGGATTTTCAATGCACTATTCGATGAAGCCATTAGGGATCATATCAATTTTTACAGATGGCTGCCGGGCCACCAAGCCATTATGGGCACTGTCCTCTATGAAGCAACCCTGAGTAAGACGTATCAAGCATGCGTTCGTCATAATGTTATTTAGGTGTATTTCAGCGGTGAAATACGCATTAGAAATGCGATAAACAGAGACTAGAATCTGCTTTTAAGAACGAATTTAAGAAGGCGCACGAGCGTTTCCAAAAACGAATGCAGAAGGCAACATTCGGTCAACCCGCAAACGTGTACTTCTGTATTATTCAATAAAGCATATGTTTTGCACATAAGCATTGTAGTACTTTACGCAATTCCATTTTCTTCATTTAGATCTACAACACACGGAGGACAACAACGTATCCGGAGGACTATAAGTAACGCCCTCTTGTACATATTCACCCCGATTATTTTCCCACTGTTTACTATTTTCTAAATAACAATATCTACACCAAAACTGTCTTCCAGTCAGTAAACCATACTGGGTGACGGGCAAAGTGATTTCGCGTGCAAACCCCTGCTTGGTAGAAAATTGCAGCTCGAATTGTCGGGCTTGATTCGCGCTCGATTCGCACGCTAATATTCGAGCTCGAATCGCGACCGATCTAAGGGACGATATTACGCGCTGTTCGCGCTCGAACATTTGCACTGGACTTTCGCGCCCTTGGTATAAGGGACGGTTAAATTAAAATTATAATAGATCGACCGGAAGCAAGCTGCTTTCCCAGGGGCTCAGAAACCCTAGGGAGAGAAGGACTGATGGGTCGAAAGAGTGTTGTCGCGGTGGTCGATGAGACCGAAGTTGCAATGGCCACATAATTTTGAGCCAAGGATGAACTGGCACCTGAACATGATCTGATTCCCATCTACTTTAGCGCAAGGCGGCTAATCCAGAAGTTCAATTTACTTAACAAAATTACTTTGCTCAAAAACTGCGAATGCTGGTTCCAGTAGTCTAAAAATGGTGCCATGCAGGGCATACTGCTGCAGTCGACTGCGCAATTAACCATCTGGCTGCCGCTTCAAATGTTCAGGAAGTAGAAGCTATGTTTGTATCTCGTGTGAAGGCGCTAAACGCCCTAAATGGGGTGAAAATATAAAGCAATCTTGTCAGAGAATGTCTTCATTAAAACGCATTAGGCACCTGGTGACGTTCTTGGCCTCGAAATTGACAGACAATGATCAGGGATCACTGTGGGAAAACTTGTTGGGTGCGAGATGAGGTCAGATTGCTGTACTGATTGACAAACAGTAATGCCATATCGACTCGTAAAGCTGAACGTTCTAGTACTGGAAGGTAAGCTTTCCGTGTATAAGACAGTCTTTCCAGTAGTGCGATAAACGCATTCACAGCTGACAGGCACGGTTATGACGGTTTAGATGCAGAACACCCCGCAAGATTACTTGGAATGGCATAATAATCGTTTGAATTCCCTATTTTTCATTGTCTACTCTAGCCAATATGCTAACTCTTTTTTTACTAAAGCTTCGAAGTTGTAACATAGAGGATGAACAAATAATTGTCAATAATGAACATGAACTAATGAAGAGGCTCTCACAGCCCAAACAAAACTGACCCTTAGGCCGTACACGTGTCGCTCGTCAATCAGGTGGTCAAACACCTCCTCCGGCTTAATTCGTGTCCCTATGGCGACAGCCAGCCGAATGCGACCAAAGGTGCCCCTGGCGAACACGGGCGGGGTTCGCGAGATGAGCTCCAGTTGTTCCAAAAACTGCAGTACCGGAAAACTGTTCGGCAGAAACACGTGCGAACCCGGGAAGGGAAGATTAATGAAGGCAGCATCTGCGGTAGAAGTGGTAGAGTTCAGAGATTTGAAGAGAAGTGAGGAGGGTTCGCGTTGTCCAACCAGATCAGAGTGGCCTGGAGTGTGTGTGTTCAGGGAATAGGGGGAAAATAA